GGCTGTCAGATTTAACGTTAATTAACGTTAATTTTCGTTTAACGTTAACGTAAAATACGTTAACGTTAATTTTAACGTAAACGTAAACTACGTTAACGTTAATTTTAACGTAAACGTAAAGTACGTTAACGTTAATTTTAACGTAAACGTAAAGTACGTTAACGTTAATTCTAACGTAACGTTAATGTGACAGTCCTACTTCAAACCACTTTTTATCCGCTTTTTAACATATTTGTCTCTAGATTGATGAATGTGTGAAAGTTTTTTTTATAATCCAATTGATCATTTATAGACTTCTTTTAACTCAGTTTATAGACACTCTAGTTTATTCGTTGTTGTTGTTTTTTCTAAACAAAGTTCCAGGAGTTTTCTAGAAAAAAGATAAAATGTTTCATTTTTAAACAGTTAAGAACATAAAAATGTCCTCTAGTGTATATATTTGATAATATTAGAGTTGTGGTGATATCATAAATAATTGTAATTAATTTGTTAGTAGATATTTAGCTAATAGTTTGTATTTTATGATGGATCCATATACTTCTTTCTTTTTATTTCTCTATTTCTGTTATTTAATTTTGATTAATAAATCTGTTATGGTTAAAACAAGGATCACTTTTTTTTTATGAGTCACTGTCTACTTTTTCGTGTTTTTTTCTTTTTTTTATACGCAAAAATGAAAGAACCATAAAAAGCATAATGAATAGTAGAAGAGAAAATAAAATTGAGTAAATAATAATATATATGTATATGTAATAAAGTTCTGAGTCGATTTTTTTCCATTCAGTTTTGTTGTCCTACATAATCTAAAGTCGACATTAAATATAACATTTTTTCGAGAACGAATTATAATTGTAAAAAAACATAATGAAACCTTAAAAATTGTCTATAAAAATGTGACAAACCTAAAATAAAAGTGAAAAGTGGTTGAAATAGAAATTCCAATAACTGCTAAGTATCTGATAATATTAAAATAGTATAGTCTACGTCACAAATGACAGTAAAACTAATAAAGTGTCAATTTACCACGTATTATATTAGAAAAACTCTCTGATTAACCCTCTTTAGAATCAGTGAATAGATACTTATTTGTCGTCTATACATTACCTATTCGCCGTTGGCTTTTTTCTTCTTTTGTATGGCATGTAACACCGCGCCAGCTTCAATAATCAGTTCTTTTGGTATATCATTAATGTGCGTTGCGTCAAAATTAATTTTAGTTTGTATTTGTTGTTTTAATTGTGAATACAATTGTTCTAATTCAACCTGAGTTTTTGAGTCATGTTCATTCATTTTCATATCATAAAGTGCAAAATTATCTTTGATCAATTGAGGATTATTTCCATAACATCGTCGTTCTAATTCACCATAGACAGAATGTTGTACAGATCGTTTGTTTGTTGCACTAGCATCATTGTACAACTGTAAAAGTTTTGGAATATTTGCATTTTGAAGAACTTCTTCAGATAGGTCAGTAATCAAAACTGATGATGAAGATAAAAATGTTAGATCATTTGTTGGTGAATTCGCAGAAATAATAGCAAAATCAGGTGAGTCTGATTTAGGTGTGATCATGGCAAATGCTGAACCGGCTCGTGATGATAGGACATCGTAGGGTGAACCCAATGATGATGGTACACTTTGATCCAATGCAGTAAAGACTGGTGGTGGCGGTGGTGGAGGTGGTGATTGTACATGTGAGGATGCAGGATCTTGTTGTAGTACATTAGGATACATTTGTGAAGATGATGATTGATAAGAGTTACCTTGTACATTTTTTGTGTTTACTGGTTTTGGATCATGAATAGGTTCAAATGATGTTTGATTAGAATAGAATGGTCGATTTTGAGATTGTGGATAATAATTAGTTTGTAGTGGATAATTAAATGGTGTTGGTTCTCCACTATTCATTTGTCTACTATGGCTGTATCGATTTTGAGCCATTGTTGGAAAATTTTGTTGTCGTTCGTCCGTATTGTCTATACATGGACGATCAAAATGCAAATCCGGAGAAAATGGTTGTTGACCATACATGCTATTTTCTCGGAATAATTGTTCATTATTAGTATTGTACGAAGAAATGCTAGCGTGTCGTGAATTTGGATAATTCATCATGGTATTTTTCTGTGTGATTAATGTAAACAACACGGCTATTTCCAATAGTAAATCAGCAGGAACACGCGCTATATTTAAGATATCTGGTTCGGTAATGCTACTAATTTTTTGTTGTAATTGTAAATAAATATGACTTAATGATGGTGCATCATGATGACTATACATTTGTGTATATTTGGTAAATGCGGCAACATCGGATGGGGTTAATAATGGTCCAGTTGATTTACCTTGAGCACGTTTATTCAATTCTTGAAGAATCATATTTGATGTACGTTGATCTTTACCACAATCCTTATGGCGGAGTAATAAATCTGCTGTACTAATAGAACTGAATTGTTCAGAATTTTGTTTTTTTAAAGTTTGTTTTTTCTTTCCCGTTTGATACCGCTCATGTTGTTGTTGATGTTCTTCTTCTTCATTATTACTTTCCCCTTCGTTCTCACTGCTCTCTTCATTTCTATTTCGATGTGTAATACTCTTTCTATGTCTATTACGTGGTGTTTCCTCCTGTTGTAGTTGTTGTTCATCTTCACTATCACTTTTGTGCGGTTTATTCAATTTTGTTATTAGATTAAGAACGCTACTATTCAAATTTGAACCGGATTGCGGTGACATCAGTGTGGAACTGTTAGTACTTGATGATAATCGAAATGGAACAGATTTATACGTATCAACTAATGTCATCGGTGGTAGTACTTGTTTTGATGTTTGATCTAATTCCAATTGTCGACAAAATTCACTAAGACTACGTATAAAATCTTCTGCTTGTTGTTTGGCTTCAATATTTCTTAACATTGTCGATTCAGCTTTTAATTGATCAATGAGTGCATGCAATTCTTGTGCCAAATTAAAACCACTACATATTTTTCTCAACTCATTACATTTAAATTTAATTTGTTCATTTTTTTGTTTCAATGCTTGTTCTAACATTTTTTTTGCATCACTTGTCGACAAAATTTTTTGTTGAAACTCATTTTTATTTTTGGATGCATTATCATATTTAGATTTAATATCGTATAAAACATCCTGCATTTTTTTTTGAGTGATTTTCATTGTTTTTCGTGCATGATAATGTTCTGTGTATAAACATTTTTGAGGACATTGAGTGCAGCAACCATTATGTGGTAATATGGCCCAACATCGTGTTAATATTTGATTACCTTGTGCTGTTGTTTCATTTAAACCACATTTATCATGACAAACAACATCACATCGTCTACACATAGTACTATGATATTTAGCATCAACGAGTTCTTTTGTTTCAACTAAACGTTCTTTTGTATAATCTTTATATGATACCTCATCGGTTTTATATTGTTTTACGGCATGTTCAAAGGCAGCTAATTCATCTTGCATTTTTTGAATTTTACTCACTTCTAAACGAGCTTCATGCATTAATGCTTTGATCGCATTTCGAATATCTTTCATATCTTTGAAAGCTGAAACGGATTTTGTTTTAAATGTATCAATTGTTTCAATCATTCGTCTCATTTCATCCATTGATTGATCCCAATCGAATTGCAGTGCATCCATAGCTGCTTGATCCCATGTATTTGGATCTTGTGAAAATGCTGAATTTTGCATATAATACGGATACACTGTACCATGTAATTGTAACGATGTCAATTGAAAGTTGGCTTCATGTCGTTTAGCATTAGTTAGTATAACAATAACATTATCCATGACAATATCAGGTAAATTTCCTCTTAATTTTGCAATGACATTTCGTAAATTTAATGTTAAACGACCCGTTGTACCATTGACGACAATAATAACAGCTGTTAATCCTTGAAGATTTTCCACTGCATCAACTATTTTACTCATATTTGTATTGTCTTGTTCAGCACCACGTGTATCAGACAAACCAGGTGTATCCAAAAAGAGATATTGTCTATTGGTTCTATCTTGGACGAAAATATATTGATTACACATGTCCGTTTTTGATTGTGTTGTATCACCAACATTATTTTCACAATAACTGAATGATTCAGTTATTTGTGGACGGTATTTTGACGGTATTGCCACTTTAATATTATTCAGCGAACCATTGAGAAAATAATTTGTTAAATAATTGATAAATGTTGATTTTCCAGAACCTGTTTCACCAATGACAAGAACTTTAGCAATATTACTAGTATCCAATGTTAACTGTTGAGCATTATTGATATTCATATCACTTAACGAATTGGCTGTTGCATTTATCGTTGAAGTGGTCATGATTTCTCTAAAATTCAGTTTTAAAAGTACAACTATTTAAATGAAATTTCAACTTTGTATTAGATGAGAAAAAGTTTTCAACAGGACATTTTGTTAAGCACGAACTTAACTTTTTAAGATTTAGATTACGAATAATACTAGAGCTTTAAGATGGAAGAGAGAGTAAAATACTTAGAAATCTTGGATTTCTTTTTTTTTCTATAAACGTGAATTCCTGTTCTTTCTCAGTTCTCTTTCACAAAATAGTCGTTGTAAAAGATTAACGACTTTGCTCAAACAACTGTAATTGACCTTTAGCAATATACTAACATACCTGATTTCAATTAAATAAGTGGTTAAAATCACTCTATTTTAAATTGTGTTGCTAGTAACGGATAGATAATAAGTTTAATAATGGATAAATTATAGACTCAATCGTACTTGAGACCGATCTACAAAATATTCTAAAAAGATATATGAAAAAAAGATATCACATGTTTATAATCGATTATTAACAGATCGCGAGTAACATGAACAAAATAAATGAGCATGAAAAAAATACGCATTAAATCATTTTTATTCATAGAAGCAAAATACAACAAAGGATATCGTTAAAAAAGAGAATACAGAAAAAGAAATACATTCAGAGCATTCCGATTAAATTTGTAAATTAATAATAAAAAAAACTCAATCACCTTTCTTGTATTTTATTAAGCTATACACTGACAATACTCTATTCTATACATTTCATCATTATCAACTCCTGAAATACAGTTTAAAACAACTTCTCTTTGTGTTAAACTGGTATGCGATGTATCAATACAAGGCCAATGAGGAAACTGAACGTGAATGAAATGAAGAAAAATGAGAGGAATGAATGAATAAGAACAATCATACCGATATCATCATAAATTTATAACTAGCAACAAATAAATTCTGTCTTTTACACGAAAATACATTTATACTTCAAGAAAATCGTTGACAATACAAGCTTACTTTCAACTGAATGAATTTAATTTCGTCGTGGATTTTGAATTAAAAGGTTAACAGCTGCTAAATGTAATAATTTGTCAGATGGTACCGCAAGAATATCATATGGATCATGATCAATTAACTCTTGTATTTCTTGCTGAAGACGACCATGTAATTTATACAATTCTTCAACAGATTTATTTCGACAATTTGAAAATTGTTCACATAATGTAAATAATTTATTATTAGATAAATAACCTACTGATGTTCCACCACATCGTCGACTTAATTCCTTTTGAATTTCTTTACAATCAGTAGATTTTTGTTCTCGAATTCCTCGACTTATTTCAATTAGTTTTTCATTACTACATTCATAATAACATTTTCCTAGAGGATCTGCTCGTGTCACTCTATCATCAGTTGATCGAGTTAGTAATGATTCATTAGGATAAACCGGCTGTCGACGACCATCCGTTGTTGAACGTTTTGTATCATTTTTATCATATACATCATCGGCACTTGATTTTTCAGTTAGTGAATGATATGAGCTAAATATTTTCTCTGTCTCATTTGTTAGTGTTGGGGATGGCATTAACGATGGTTTACCACTTTTAGCTGTTGGTATATCTAAATCCAATAGTGATTTTGTTGTAGATCTACTCTTTTCACGTTTGTCCATATTTGGTGAAGTACTACTACTACTATCTGCAGTAAAATCATCTTGTAAATTATTGCATAATTTTTCTAATTTTTCAATAAAACGTGTTGCTCGACGTACAACCGATTGTGAATTTAAAGAATTACAATCAATTTTTAAAAAACTAACAAATATATACAATTCCTCAACAACATTAAATCCTTTACAAGTATTTTTAACACGATAACAACTCTCTTTTACTTTAACATATTGTTCATGTAAAGCATTTTCAATTAATTTTTTTGTCTCTTGTACTGTTTCACATTTTATATCAACTTTTTCTTTATCTGCTTTAGCTGTTAATGATCGTTCATATATATTATTTGCAATAGCTTTTAATGTTCGTTGTATGGGTGTTATCAATTTTCTATCATGATAATGATTATCAAATGAACAATGTCCTTTACATACGGTACATTTACCATTTGATCCTATTACAGCACATCGTTGAAATACTTTTTCACCCACTTTTGTTGTTTCTGTTAATGAACATCGTTCATGACATACCTGATTACAATTTAAACATATTGTATTGTGATACGGTGTTACTGTTACTTCATTAACCATTATACCTTTTTGTTTAACAGCATTTTGATATTTTTCTACATTTGAACCATATATATCTGATGCTTGTTCTAATCCAATAATTTCATCTTCTAATTGTTGTATTTCCATAATCATTAGACGTGATTCATGTAATAATGATCTAATTGTATTTCTATCATCTTGCATTGTTTTAAATGTTTCTGTAGACACAGATGTTAATGATATTAATTTTTTAATTATATCATTCATTGTTTGTACTGATATATGCCAATCACGTTGTAAAATTTGTATAACCATTGGATCCCATTGTGATGAATCACTTGAAAATGCTGAATTTTGCATATAAAATACTGAACATTTTAATGTAGATGATAAACCAATTGTTTTTGGATTAAAATTTACTGTATGACTTTGACAATTTGTTAAAATAACAATCATGTTATTATAAATAATATCAGGTATACGATCACGAAATCGTTCTAAAACATTTTTAATATTAATCGTCATTCGTGCTTGTGTACCATTAAGAACAAGAACGAGTGCTGTTAAATAGTCTAATGTTTGTACAGTATCAAATATTTTATCAACATTTTCATTATCTTGTAAATAACCACCCGTATCATTAATACCCGGTGTATCAATAAAATTAAAATTAACATTTCCTATTTGAAATGTATAACATTGACAATCTAATGTTTTACTTTTTGTATCATCATCTAAATCATCTTCATTATGAAGATAATTTAAATTTGTTGATAAATATTTTGTTGGTATAGCTACTTTTAAATTCGTTAGTGATCCATCAAAAAATAAATTAGCCAAATAGTTAATAAATGTACTTTTTCCTATAATTGAATTAATAATTAATTATAAAAAAAAATGTTTTTATATAAATCAATCAAAATACCTACCACTTCCTGTTTCACCAATAATAACCACATTAATTTCTTTAGCCATTCAATTTAATTTCTATCAAAAATATCTTGAAGAAAAAAAATTAGTTAATTATGTCGACAGACATCATGTATCTTTGATGTGAAAATGTTTTGTTTTTTTTCTTTGGTCGCTGTTTTGTGTAAAATGTGCGCCTCATAATCTAGAGAACTACAAGAAGAAATGAAATGTTCTATTGAAAACGGGATATTGTTGTTAATATACTCGAGATTAACCAATGCTTATTCATTTTTCGAGCAGTGGTCCCACATTCTACGCCCTAAGATGAAAAAAGTTAACAGAAAATGTATTTTAGACTTGTTGTCAGCGCCATTTTTTAAGGAGAACTTTGAGAACAAAATAGATTTGTTTATTTCTTTTGTTAAGAAAAGAATTTTCTTTAGTGAGAGAAAGACAAGAAAAAAATTAAGAAGATTCGTTGATCAGAGTACGAAGACATCAAGTTATTGATAATTGAGATTGTTAGGAATATTAGGAAAAAGAAAGCAAAAAAAAAAAATTAATTCACTACCATAAATTTATAAGATATCTCTTTTAGATATCTGATGACAGAAGAAACAATAGCTTAACCTTAATTATGCAAAGATGTAATGTTTCTTTCTTCTAGGTCTACATCAAAGACAGATTTTACTCTAGTACTTGTACACTGCCGTCTATTGTGTTGAAAAGAGTTATTATGAACTCTTATACTGTTGCAGCGCTTTCTATTATTATTCAGCACATACAAAGTCTGTCGACATCGCAACTTGTACAAAGCACAATTGTATTCTAGTTTTTAACTTAACTATTTTTTGAGTAAAATAAATTTATTATAATAAAACTACTTAGACTATCATCGAACATTTGAACTTACTTTTTATAATATACTACAAAAAAACTAAACTTATTTACTTTAGTCTATATACTGTACGTTAGCGATTGAATTTGTGTCATTGAATCGCCGTTTCTAGTATGATTATCAGAAGAACACTTATCTTTGTTGTTTTAACCTTACGTCAAGCAATAGAGCAAAACTATTGGAAAGAAAGAACAGAAATTAATTAGGTATGTATCCATAGAAAAGATTTAAGTATGCGGATCAGAAGGAAGAAAATTCCTAGAGAATTATGAATATATACATGTAGTCAATTGTAGTGAGATTTTGTGACTTTTTTTTAAAGATTTTTTTCCATAACATAAACTCCTTGAAAAATTGTTTTGAGATAAAGGTTAAACTTGTCACACGATCATATGGAGACGAACTAAGATATGGGTATCATAAAAAATCATATATATATATATAAAGAATTAATGCAAAAATCATATAAATGTTACAAACCCATTAAGCTCTTTTGAAAAACTTTTCTGATTATATAACTGTCTTTAATAATGACAACCTTTATGTATTTTATTGATGTATAATACATTTGTATTAGTTTTTATCCTGTATCATTTATTTTCTATTAATTTTCGATCGATAAGAGGTCGAGTAAAACATTGTTTTTTTTTTATTCAAAATAGGTAAGAAAAAAGAATTTTATACTTAATGGTGACCTGTATAATAAAAGAAAAAAACTATACGTTAAAAATAAATATATAGCATATTGTATAGAGTATACTTTCAAGAACAGTTCAAACAAAAAATAAAAAAGTACCAACTTTTTTCATATATCTGTGAAACGAAAACAAACTATCGATCTGTTTAGAGAGTATGTGCAAATAAATGACATTTTTAACTATTATTCATCAGGATAGTCATGTATTTTCTTTTATGCTAAATAAATAAGTTCATTAATAAAATTGTACAAATCGACGTATTTCCAAGTTTCTCTTTTAAACTAGATTAGACCAACGAGTTAAAATGCATTAACAATAGTTATACGAAAATTGTTGTGTTTTGTATCTCAGTACATTGATGATGTTTGCCGGGTTGTGAATCATGTTTGAGTAATATTATTGTAAATGGTTCGAATGAGCTAAAACTTTACTGAAAAACAAAATATAAAGGTTTATCTTTTAAAAAAGAGATCTATAAGAGAGATTGTATTTTCGTTTATTTTCCCAATTCAATACAATTTATCAATAAAAATTGGAAATGTTCGAAAAATGCAGTTGTGAGAACGAAATATTGCTTTGTCTTATTTATGAAATTGTCTGTAAAATAGGCAGTACTAAAAACGTCTACTCGCGACAATATTTGTGCATGTGTTTCAACACAAGGATTTTAATGTCTAAGTTAACTGATTCATATATCGGCGTGGCCAGCTAACTCTGCTACTGTAACAAAATTCTGTAACATTTTGTTTTACCTATAATTTCTAAAGTGACTGTCGTAGAGTATCGCGGGACAGCTTAAGTTGAAGAGAAAAGTATAGTTAACATTTTAAGACGTTTTTCGGCCTTACAGCATGTATTGTTAAGAAGCTGTAACATAAACATTGGACACTAGTTTTGCAAAACTTAAATTCAAAAAAACTAAAAGCTAGTGGCTAATGTTAAGTTACAGCGTCTTAACGATACATGCTGTAAGACCGAAAAACGTCTTAAAATGTTAACTATACTTTTTTCTTCAACTTAAGCTGTCCCGCGATACTCTACGGCAATCAGTTTAGGAATTGTAGGCAAAACAGAACGATAAAAAACCGTTACGCAATTCTGTTACGGTAGCAGAGTTAGCGGGCAAAGCCGATATGCCACATGATAATTTCTTGTTTATATTGGAAACTACAGTTAGTCTTGCGAAAGTATGCTCTTTATAACTAATCATTTAAGTACATAGTGATATGTCAAGTTCAAAAATAAATCAAATTACTATTCATTTAAAAAAAGGTAGATTTATAACTACGATTTCCACCGTTTGAAATCAAAGCTGAGACACGTACTTTCGTAAGTAAAATGACTATAAAAATCTTCTTTCGAAATGGATTTTTGACAAAATCTTTGGAAACACACTTTGGCTCTGAAGAGTTTTCATGTAGGTATTTGGATATTTTGCACAGAAAGAAAAGTGTCTTATGCAAAATGCGAGTCAAGCGCGACAGGCGTTTCATATCATAGTATAGTTTAGAATGCAAAAATGATCTGTTGTGTATTTGAGAACTTTTTCAGGAAAACTTTATGATCCGATATATTTATTTTGGATTTATCATACTTCCGGGTTTATCATCATGTAAAGCATCCGAAATAGAGTATGCTCTGAAGTTTTCAAGGATCTGATTCGAGAGCGCTCCTCTGACTTCTAGAAAAACTGATACCACGTCGAAACAGTAAAAAATCAAGATCTCACTTGGCTCGCATTTTGCATAAGACACTCTAGGCTCTCTATCTGTGAAAAAAATCCAACTTATATATGTTACGCTTGAGTTTAAAAGGTTTAATACATTTAATGCATCGTTGTTGAGAAATAGACATTGTCTTTTTATCTGTTTCTAACATGAGTGTAAATTCTTTCATTTCTTATGATGAAGCTGATGAAACAAGCTTAGTTACAACATCATTCAATACTATAAAATCAGACATGACCTTATGTAACTAACTCTTGAAAAGTGACAGAAGGCAATTTGAATTCCACCGCTTGATATAATAAAAAGGAATT